AACAGCCAACTTCCTTCTCTCCTCAGTGAATTTTATAATTGGAAAATGGAAGCTGGGATGAGAGCTCGAGTCCTTGTCATTAGTTCTTTGGAAGCTCTTAGCTGACTTGCTTTGTCTTTAAGACTCAATTAGTTTCTTTTACTCTTCTCTTTACTGTTCAAGGACACCCACACATATTCTGTATTCACAAATGACATAAAAGTATATGAAGTCAATGTGAGTGCTCAAAATAGCTAAGGTATGTCTTCATGTCCTAATAAACAAAACAGTGTGTTCCAGACAGCATTTCGTGCCTAAAATCTACCAAACCTATGTTCTTGGCTCTGCTTTCAGAGCTGAGTGAAGATTCTCAAACATTGATAGACAAAGGAATCATCTGGGGAGCTTTGCACTAGGTAGGGCTGAGGAGGGGTCCAGGAATCTGCATTTTGACAAGATTCTCAGATTATTTCGAAGTAGGGACCATACTTTTGAGAAATACTGTTTTAAAAGCAGGAAAGAAGAAGGCCAGATCTTCTTAGATGCTCAGACTTTAAAGCATTTTGGGCCTCTCCCCATTTAGTCTCCTCCAGGTTGGCAGGTCCCTGCTCTGATAGCCCTTGTCTGGCCTGCCCCCTGCTTAACATATGGTTCAGTCTCTGCATTCCTAGTGTTAGATAGAAGTACTGAATAGCAGGATGATCCTTGGATGACCTCAGAAACCTTAGCCCTGAGCCATCCCTACTCTGGCTTCATTTGGGCCATGGTCTGTTGAGGTATGGACACCACACTACTCCTCACTAAGGTGTAAGATGGTCCACCTAGGTGCTGCCCGCCCAGGACGTACACAGGCAAGCCTCACTGACCTGGGTTGCAGCAGCCTCTGTAATGGCTACCTTATAGCCTTATTGCCTGTCCTGAGATTCTTTTGGTCAGAGCCTCCATTCAGTAGAGCCTCAACTTCTCTCATAAGGGCTATTGGGTCACCAGTCTCAGGATGACCAAGAGGTCCCCTTGCTGTGTGGGATTGTATCTTGTCCTTTTCCTTACGGTGAGAGCCACACCTCTGCCTATATCCACAAAGTTTGCAGGCTTTGGGGGCTACTGTGGCAATTTCTGATCTTGGGTGTAACTCTGCAGGCACACACTCAGGTGTCCCTTGTTTGGCTCCTAACTCTGTTGTTCGAGTGGATCAAACTGGTGTGGGGTCCTGTAAGAACTCACTGCCCTCCACATCATCATCAGTGATTTCTGACCAAGACTTTTTTCCTCTCTCTTGCTGGCAAAATCTCAGAAATTCTGTCTATAAAAGAACAAGAAACCTTATTGATTTCTGCTTTTGCTTTATAGGCTAACACTGCTTTACTCGACCACCATCTTCCTGGCCAGAGAGGCCTTCCGTAGAGCGTGTCTGAGTGGGGGCTCCCAGCGAGACTGGAGCCAGACCTTCAACCTCCTATGGCTAACGTGAGTTGTGCTTTGTCAGGAGACAGTTTCACAAAGGCAAGTGTAACAAATGTTTGATGTTAAATAGCAACACTTGCCTAAAGTTGAATTGTCTCCAGCTTTAGTTTTGCAGTAGATTTCTGGGGACTTGGCATGGGACAGGAAGGGCTTTGTAGAAGGAGCTTCATGGCTGTTTTCTCTCGGGATGGCCAGGAGCCAGGAGGAGGCCCCAGGTGGGGGTTTCTGGGCCAGGTTTCTAGCCCTGTTTCTACCAATTTTGGAAGTTGTTTTTGCTGTTCCTGATCCCTACTCTGGGCCCCACGGGGCTTGTGCCATCTTTTTTAACCCTAATATTTTCCCCCTGTTGTATTTTCTGAGCTTTAAACAACCACTTAGTTTTAGGGGTTTCATTATATCTTTTTTCGATTTTGTTATATTGATTTCAGTTCTGAGCCTTTTAGAATATTCTTGAAGACCAAGTATACCAGCTAAAAACTGTAATAGCTTTTCTGCAGTTAGATCCCTGCAGGGAGAACTGGTGGTTGAGGTTGTTTCCCAATGCTGCCCTTGCATAACTCCTTCTTCCTTCACGGAAACAAGTGTCATAAGGGCTGGCAGGTTTTCATTTTATTAGAGGAATGACTGTTAACTACCCAGTCATATTTAATTGCTCTGTGGTACACACATGAAGGAATACTGTGCACTGGACTATTGGTCATTTGCGTGTAAGTATCAGCTGTTTACTATCTTTTAGTCATTCTAGGTGCAAACAGCAGGCACACACTTTTTGGGAATTTCGCTTATCCTGTCAGTACAGTGGATAGGAGTGTAGGTTGGCATTAGATCATGATTCGGTCTTGCTTCTTCCCTTGACTAGCAATTAATGACCTTAGCCAAACTACCTAGTGCCTATCAGATTGAGCTTTCTCATCATTTAAATTCATCATTCATTGTGAAGTATCAGTAAAATAAAAGGAGTAAATCATAGTGCCTGGCATGTAGTCAGTGCCTTAACAAGAGTTAGCTATTTATATGTATTTCTTTTCTGTTCAGTGTTACTATTTTAACATATATTTATTTTTATATTTAGCATATCAAAAAACTTTTTTCCCATTTCTAGAGTTCCCCTGGGTGTGTTATGGTCCATGTTCCTGGGCTGGGTCTGGTTACGGTTCCTTGAAGTGCCTGATCCTGATGTCATCCCGTACTATGGAACTGGAGTGGTGGTGTTTGGTCTCTCAGCTGTGGTGGAACTTCTGGGAGAGCCCTTCTGGGTCTTGGCGCAAGCACACATGTTTGTCAAGCTCAAGGTCTGTGTGCCTTCTGCTGTTAATGGGAAATGCAAAGA